AACGCGCACCCCCGACCCACACTGCAGGACGGAGATCATTTGCTCGAGTCGCCCATGAGATAGTAAGTAAATAAGTATTTATTTTTAAATTTTTAAAATTTTTTTAATTAAATTTTTTGGGTGCAGATGCAGAAGGAAGGTGAAGAACCTTCTGCGTTGCGATTGATGCAGGAGACTCACCGTCGAGCTGACGGTACTTATATCAGCGATCGGGTTCAGGAAATTGAGGATGCGATTCAGGCAAAGATCACCGATCGTCTCTCCCAGTTAGAGGAGAGTTGTGGCCGGCTATTTCCTCCTCGAGACGATCCACCAACGGCGCAAGATATGCCGTTCAACCCATTTCTGACTCCTCAGCCCGGAGTCGGACTTAAAAATTTACATTTGCGACAGAGTGCGACCAATGAATTTAGTCGGACGTTGCGACCGAATACCTACCGCTATATTTGGTCGTTATTTTGCGACAGAGTGCGACTGATGAAATTTGTCGTTACGTAGCGACCGAATACCTACTCCTACTTCGGTCGCAATGTGCGACAGAAATGAATTCACCAATTTCCGACAGATTACCGACATATAACCATTTGTCGTATATTGGCGACCGACGACCTACAGATCTATCGGTCGCAAAGTTGCGACAGAATCACCGACAGATTACCGACATATAACCATTTGTCGTATATTGGCGACCGACGACCTACAGATCTATCGGTCGCAAAGTTGCGACAGAATCACGACCACACAGATTTTGCGACAACGATTTAGCGACCGCTTCTTCATGTTGCGACAGAATTTTCGGTCGCAAATTACAGTTTTTCTTGTAGTGTTATACAGTAATTGTAAAACTTTAGTTACATATTACGATGTACATGTTGAACAGATCGCATATTTCAATTTAGAATATATCAATCCAAATATCAATTACAGTGTCATTTTAAAAATTAAACATTATATAATCAAAGTTTTAAAGAAAAATATTATGTGTTTTATTGCAAGAGGAAAAAATCTTCTAAACCAAATTATATCACCCAATGAGCGACACAATTACATTTTGTCAAAATTATGTATCTTTACATAATTATATATTTATGTCACACCAACGTATAAATTGTTATCATGTTAAGATTTCTCCAAAATCATTTTTCCCCCCTCTTTCCTATGTTAATAGTGAGGGTTCTATTGGATACAAGTTTAAAAATCCAGGGTTTTACATGAGATAAAGAAAATTCATGTTTTAAGATAAAAAAACTATTTTTCCCTATATAACAATATTTTTTAAACAACAAAAATATTTATTTTCTCAAAAAAAAATTCTTTATAACAGTTCACAAATTGTTCCTTTAACTCATATTTATTCATCAAATAGGTGTATCCATCACACTAATTTTAACTAAATGAAACAGGAAAAGTCTTCCAAACCAACTCTACTACTGGTGATCTCCTTCAGTGTTCATACTGTCAGGCATTAGTTTGGAAAAAAGAGAGTATTGGCCGAGATGGTCGCGTCGGCAATCTGTTGTATAATATATGTTGCATGCAAGGTCGAGTTAAACTACCTCCAGTGCAAAATCCTCCCATATTCCTGGAAGAGTTATACAGAAACTCAGCTGCATTTCGCAAGAATGTTAGAGCTTATAACTCAATTCTTGCATTCACCTCAATTGGTGCGAAGATCGACCACTCGGTAACATCAGGAAATGGACCTGATACGTTTAGTATCCACGGACAAAATCATCATCAAATAGGTTCTTTGTTACCCGCTGAAGGAAGACCGCCCCAATTTGCCCAACTTTATATATATGATACTGCAAATGAGGTTTAGAACCGTATGAGTACACTCAGTCGAACATCAAGTGTTGGAGATTTAGATGAGAAAATTATCACAGGCCTTATTCGGATGATGGATGATTTTAATTGTCTTGCAAAGATATTTAGAAAGGCAAGAGATCGGTATGAATCAGGCGACATCTCAGATTTTACAATAAAGCTGGTACAACAAAAACATCGTGGTAAGCAATTCGACCCTCCAACCAATGAGAAAATTGCTGGTTTGATTGTCGGTGATATGTCAGCAACGATTGGTGAAAGAGATGTGGTATTACAGCTCAAACCCTCCAATCATTTATACCGAGTAAGCGATCTCCATCCATTGTTTATGAGTCTACAATATCCGTTATTATTTCATTACGGTCAGTATGGCTTCCATGATGAAATTCCATACGAAGATGAGAGAAACAAGATTAAGAGATCATTTGTTACCATAAGGGAATTCTATCCATACCAGATACATACACTATTATCTGAAGGAATGACAATTGTAAAAGCTGGTCGTCTATTTCAACAGTATGTTGTTGATGCATACACTACAATTGAGCAAGAAAGAATCCGATGGGTCAGAAATAACCAAAAGATCCTAAGGGCAGATCTTTATAATAATATTTTTGATGCAGTAGATAAGGGAGACAAATGCAAAAGTGTTGGGAAAAAGGATAATTTTACCACCTTCTTTCACTGGCGGCCCATGATACATGGTCG